AGAGGAGTTGAGTTGAAATAGATCCTGTTCCTATTAAAAAATCACTACCTTCATCAAGAGCAACTGAACCACAAAATATACTAGCCAAACGCATCTCCATCAAGACAAGAAGACTTTCTCATCATCAAGCCTCCCCACCCACAAAGTCTTTTTTTAATATTGAAGTCCTTGATCCTATAGCATCTCCAAAATGAAACGCAAATGCAGGGGAGGAAGCTGCCCAAAACGTCACTTCAGATCAGCGTGAATTATGGTTGGGGGCAGGGAGCATGTGTGCGTCTGTCTGTACATGACTGCGCACATACCTATCGAGCACAGAATCTGTGTCAAGATCTGGCAAACCCCGAGCAAACAGAAAGCAGTGAGGTCTCTGCAGCACATCCATAAAGTGAGCTGCCACCCGGCACTACTGCATTTACAATCAACACAGTTCAAGCAGCATTTTAAGTGCCTGCTCCTACGTTTCGCGCGGTCAGGGTGAACGACGAGAGGAACGGATTACATTCGTAAGGAAATCCTGTGCAGTACTCTGGTTCCTTTTCAGACTGAAAGAGAACACAGAATCTTTTCAGTTCCCTTCCTGGCAATTCAGTTATTCAGGTCCCAAGAGAAAGATGGATGAGGTCATTGTACCCAGTGCTGTCATGGGGTTACTATACGCATTACCAGTTCTGTATCACTTCTGTGAGAAAGTCATCACTAATCTAATTGATTGCATTGGATTCCAGTAATCCGTATTTGTCATGACTTACCCTTCCAGAGTAACTTGAACAACCCTGACAGCTAAAGTAGTGATTAAAAGAGTGAATAGTGTGGCCAACTTTGTTTTAACCACTTCATTTACCATGGGGAAAGAGAGGTAGAAGCAAAACCATGCTGTCAATAGCAAATACCTCATCCCAAACTGGATCTAAGATCTCTCGCATAGCATTTACTACACGTTCAATAAAAACAGGAACTAAAATATACTGAGTTATGTCATTTGTACTGCATATAGGAAAGGTGTTATGTAGATTCTTCTCCCACTGGTATCAACGTGCTGCAGAACAATAGTCAGAATAAAAGGTTAATTGCAAGGAACACAGTTTGGACCGTTTTCATTCCCACGGTCTGGAAGCCACTGAAGGAAAATGTGGGTTTCTTTAACTGTATGAAGCCTGATAAGAGTAGTGGCCTCTAACAAAGATCTGCCTTTCCTGAAAATTCGGGAAAAAGTCACCCAGAACTACACAGCGCTATTCATTTCACTTTGTGAGAACTTCATAAACTCTCAGTTCCTGTTCCTAGGTGTATAAAAAAGTGTTATAACTCCCCATTCAAACCAATCCCAGTAGTCTAAATGCAGTCAATACAACCTTCACAGGTAACCCAAAGGAAGCGAAGCCTCAACAGATGCATATAGGTAATGGTGCTCTCTACCTGTCTGACCTTTGGTCACGTGCAAGTAGAACTGTGTTTTCCTCTGTCAAATTCAACACATGCATGTTCAATAACTGAGCTGATATAGTGATAGTTGCACCAAAAACTGTAGTTCAGCTCTGGAATATTTAAAAGCTCATTGTGTCCAAACTTAAGGATCATCTACTTCTCTTTTATCATTAAAAAATTGTACAAACAAGGGAAAAATCAAGATTATTGAGGTTACATGGGGTTTAAATCATCTTGGATTAATCAGTTTTCAAATTGGTACACTGTGCATTTTGCAGAGATAATAAAACATTTACCAGGAGCAATAGTCTCCAATGTTCCAGGATTAACCTTTCTAGTGCTTGTGCAGTGTTGGACAGCGGACCCAGTAAACACCAAGTAAAAATCTACATCATCTTCAAGTTTGTCTTCTTCAGCCAGCAGCACTGTAATAACGCTGTCACCCTAAGAGAAAAAAAAAAGGCAAAGTTGAATTTTTCGGAATTTTATTATGTAAAGATCTACCAAGCATTCAAGGCCCCAAATTTCTGTTCTCAATCCATCTGCACAGAACTGCAAAGGTCCCTCTACTCCTGTCTTCAGAGGTGCAAACAATTCTTGACATATATATATATCTTGCCCTAATCACCAAAACCGGAGTCAGCTTTTAAAGATATGCAGAGATACAGCCAGGAGAACAATCTGGAAACCTCAATATAAGATCAAAATGGCCATACTAACTAACACTGTGACCTCCTGACGGCACCACGACATCTCACAGCAGTTTGACACAAGGATGCATAGCTAGAAAGCTGAAAGCAGAATCAGATGTCATTTCTTCTCGATCCCTAAAGCCTTTCCCTGCCTATGTAACTACATACTTGACATCTGTAGTAATTAATTCAAGCACTGATCACTCCTCTTCTCTTCCATACAGATGCACAGAGGTAGCAAAATGTCACGTTCCTTATGGCAGGGGTGTCAAGCTTGCCCCAGGCCCCAGGCAGGATCAGGACTGCAGGGCTCCTCCCAGGCCAGATCCACAGGGCAGCAGCAGTTCCGGCAGGTCTGGTAGTCCAGGGAGTAGCAAGACAACCAAGAGCTGTAGCTGCACAGCCCTTGCTTGGTTTACTGCTGCAAAAAGCCATGCCCAAAAGGCCCTACCCCCATACCTCCAATAGCCTGGGGGCACATGGGATAGCTCTGTGGCCCACAACTGTGATACACCTGTCTTAGGGTATTATTGACCATTAGAAAATACTACCATAAGCAGCCAATCAATAAAGTCTAATGAATTAAGAGACACAAAAAGAGAGAGAGCTTTCAACATAATTAAGGACTGTATTATTGAATACTATTCAGCAAACCCAACCCACAAGAAAAATTTCCATCTTAGTGGGATACTGAAGTCTGATGCTCTTTTCACCTTTTAAAAGCTATAAATTGGCACGTACCAATATGCACGAAAGTAACCTTTATGACCATGTTGTCTTAGTTGCATGCAATTGTACTTTTAACAAGTCACCACAACATGACAAATTACCTTTTACCACGGAAACCTCCTATGAACTACAGATGTATCTGATGTTGAGGGTAGGACATATCCCTGCTCAACACAGCAGAGCCTTCAAGAGAACCCAGGGCCTCACAACTGTATGGCTAGTTCAAAAATATTGAATTAAAAAAAAAAAGGAAATTAAAAAAAAAAAATAAATCGGTTATAAACGTATCAGGAGAACAATAAAATTAGAGGGGAAAAAAGGGGGAGTGGGGGTAAGAGATTCTCTCAACTCCCAGACTCCAGAAGCTTGGGCTTTCAGAAAAAACACTGAATATCAAAGAACTGGATAAATTCAAAAAAGATGGCAAAACCAACAACTGGTCATCTGCGAGACATGGATTGCTTTGTAGTTAATATCAGAGCTGGTCATGCCTGCTAATGCTACAACTAAGAGGCAGAGAAGCATGGTTGTTTCATCTCGACAGACTCCTTGGAGGGAGCGTGTCAGCGCACAAACTTACTTACACACTGGATGCTACCACCAGATACTAAAAAAGCAGAGTTCCAGATGAGACAACAGGAATAATACAGAGAAGAGACAAACGCATATATTGTCTATATTCAGTGATAAAATAAAAACAATTGAGGACAAAACAAGATTTTTGAAATTCAAGCGTGGCCAACTCGTACGAGTTCAGAACTGAACATTCAGTTCCAAAGAAACGCATCCAATTTCAAAACAGCTACTCAAAAACAGTCTTGTTAAGCCTAGGAACCTCCTCTTTGCTTTGAGTCTTGTTTCTTTTTCTCTTTATTCAAACCACTCTTTCGCCAAGGCATCCATACACAATTTTTTTTAATGGTCCAGCTGAAATTTTAGGTAATTCATCTGCAGAGCCGACTGTTACACCGCCCCCCCCACACCCAAAAGCAAAATATAGGTGTGCATGCACGCGCGCGCACACAGAAAAAAAAACCCAAAAAAGCAAAGTATGCATATAATTATAGGCTACTAGGACGACACAAGAGAGTTAACGCTGAAACACTTTAGGTGGGGAGCCAAACATTAGATTCACTTTGGTCACATACAACAGGATTAAAGCCTGCTGGAACTAGGATTTAAAGATACAACATCAGATCAAGTTAACTAGCTCCTTCTAATTTTCATCTAATAGTTGAGTGAATGCAGAGCAAATGGATGTTAGGATGCATCACGCTGGCTGCGTTGAAATCCAGGAGGGAAGCCCAGGTTATGCCAGGACCAGCTTATGTGATTTGAGGGGTTGAAACTCTGTCTACACAAGCATTAAGGGAATGGTGCTGCTGCATTAAGCTAACCTGACTAAACTAATACAACTGGATCGAGCACCTTTTTTTGCTGTGTGAACAGGACTTGAGGCCTGGTCTAGACAAGGAAAAAGTTCTCTCACCAACTGGATTCCCCCCGCCTTGTCTAGACAAGGCTTCAGGTTTACATAGCAGGGAGGAAAAAAAAAAGCATGTGGTCAAGCATTAACTTTTAACCTTAAACAGTTTAATTTGACACACCAAAAATGAAAGCTCGATTCAACTCCAGTGTAGACTGGTTAGGAGGAGAATTTCAATCAGACTTAGCCAACTCATTTGAGCTCACACAAGCAGATGGCAGCTTTTCTCCTAGTTTAGACAAGCCTCTCCTGCCCTGCAGTTAGGGACTTGCATGCTGCAATTCACATTCCAGCTTCACGTCCCATCACAACCAGACCTCCCAAGAGCCTATCGCAGTCATATGCTAAAAAGCAGGAAGCCAGTGTCCAGTTTACCCAATCTGAAAAACTAAGCCCGAGTTTTTTTTTTTGCTTCTGTTGTTTTAGAGTGTTTTTCAACTAAATAAAAATCCACAAGGGAGTCTTCCTACAGCGCTGGCAGGGAGCAATGGCATTGGCAGGATGGGGAGGGTACCATTTCTTTAATTACTGAACACTCCTGTTCACCTGCCAGTGTAGTTTTGAGACTGCCCCTGTTATCTGCAGTTGTATGCAGCATAACTCATTGCCCGGGAAATGCATTGAGATGCTGGATGAAACATGTTATGCAAGCTCTAATTGATAAGAAAGTGGGCTGCCTTCAGTATCACGCATGCATAATTAGTAACACAACAGAACTGTTATATTTCTCATTAAAATAATCAGGGTCCAAAAGTGACTATAAAATAAAACTACATTGAAAATATGACTTGGCAATTTACAATGCAAAGCTCTCTCTTTCAAAGACCTTGAGAGAGAAAGCAAATCAGTTACAAATGCAGCCAAATTCCTTAAACCCTCACAGAAGAGTTTCCAATAGCACTATTGCACTCAGCCTGGAAAAACATTTTAATTGAGGCATGTTTACCTTTATTCGTTTAATATTACCCAAATACTGTCATCTGTTCAAGATCACTGCCACAAGGTGGTTATTGTAACCCCTCTTTCATCCTAAGTGACTACAAATAGAAAGCCAGACTGACGATATCCCTTTGGTGAAAGTACAGATAGATCAAAGCGATTATCTGGCACATGCCAACAAATAAGAATAATTGAATTTCAAACCTAGCTTGGCCCCACTAACATTTACTTGGCTTGGGGCCTATTGGAAATGAAAACGTTGCATTTTTGCCTGTTCCAGAGGGCCACTTTCTTTCAACTCCCAAATTCTGAATCCAAAAAAACTATGAAAAAAATTATTAGGGGAGACGTGATCTGGTACAAAGAATAGGAAGTCTACTCACTGCTGACAAGTGCATTCACTATCTCAAATTGGGGAATGATGAGTTTTAGGGGTCACAGCTCATGAATAGGGTCTTAGCCATGAATTCACTGAGGGCTGTTTTATTCTTAGGTCTTGTACCACTATTTCTACAACTGTTTCTAAGTATCAATATGAAGTTCTTGATTTAAGACAACAGTTTAATTATAAAAGGGTACAACTCCCTACTGATAACACTGTTACATTAGTGTAAAAATGCTCATATTGAGAAAAATGCTTATAGCCATGTAATTGTGACATTAGAAACTCATTTAGTCAAAATGGCATTATGTTCCAAGCAACTATAGTTACAGCAATAAAAAAACTGCATGTAGATCAAGTCATTTTCTTTGTTTCACTTTCCCTGTCTGTCAAAAAAGAGAAACTGTTTCAAAGTATCTTGATATGAGACTTACTTCATCAATGTCAGTAAATGGCTATGAAGTCATAGAATGAAACCTGTTATGCAAGATCTAAGTATTACTAATCTGTATTATTTACTATTATTAAAATATAATTCACTTTCTAAAGGGAACTTATTATGATTTCTAAAGGATCATTTTAATCAAAAGCCTCGGCTTCCAATTCAGTTACTGGGAAACTGCGTCAGCCAGCTTTTTGGGAAGTCTGCAATTTGGGAGGATTCCTGACTTGCAAAGATACAGAATTAGCGATCCCCTTGTAAGGCTTACATACGAGGCCTCAGATCAGACATACCCCTGCTTAACTGGAAAGAACATGACCCACTATAATCTATCTAGGCCCAAGGTAACAAAATAGTGATGTTATAGGCATCCTACAGAAGTCTATAGGTATTTCTGAAGACACATTTTAAAACAACCCCCTTTAGAAAGACTAAGCTTTTTATTTTATGAACCATGGCAACTTTGACCTACAAAATCCCAAGTATCTTGTCTACATTTTGGATTTTTAAGAAATGTTAACTAACAAAAACTTCTCTCCAACTGCAACCCACGCATTCGGTTGTTAATGTACCAACTGGGTGCAAAGAATAGGTCTGACGCCCTTCAGCACCTGCCTTTTCAAACTCCAAGTGCCAAGGAGAGTTCTGCTATTTTATTCATTAGCCTAGCAGGGCTGTTCAGCTTCTCAAAGGCTGGTGGCCAAATGCTTCAACAGCTGCACCAGTGGAGGCCATAGCAGCATAAGCCACGGGTGCTCCCTACCACTCACTGCA